CTCGGCACAGGTAGAAGAACATACACTGGAAGGGTGGTGCAGAAAACTTACCTGTCGACCACCTTGTTCCCCCTTCCCCATCATCCTTTTCCTTAGCATTTTTCTTTCATCTACATTGTTCTTCATCTGGGCCTGTCTCACCTTCTTTGGAAGTAACTGTACAGCCTCATTACTATTCAATCCTGTGCTTATTAGAAAATGCTTCAAATAAGAGAAACACAAATTAAAAGGGGTGGAGGGGGTAGCTTTATGTGTTACTGAATTTATTGCTCCCAGAGAGACTGTAAAATCTTTTTTTTTTACTTTAAGTCTCTAAAGTAGTGAGGGAAAGAGGGTATGGAAATGGCTTTGGGTAAGTATCCTTGCAGTCAGAGCTTGGACACAAAACCTAGATCTGCCAATTGCATCAAGTCTTGACCTTGGATGGGACAAATAATAGGTGAAGCAGCCGGGACTCAGCCTAATCCATTTTGGCGGTGGGCAGTTGTGGCTCTATCCAGGTTCCAGAGGCAGCATTTCAACAGCATGCCATGTTCAGTGTCAAAGGCCCAAGCTGTGATGGTTAGCGCATGACACGGAGGTGGTGGTGGTGGTGACTTCAGTAGCCTAGTTCTATGGCATAGATTTTAGACTTGTTCCTGGTTGCACAGCTTCTGTGCCAGGTCCTGCAGCCCTTCTAGAGGGTCTGGAGCTCCTCACTCCACTTTCAAGAAATTGCTTTCTGCTGAAATTAACCATACCCAGTTGCTCTCGGCTGTTTCCTGCAAACATACCATGAGCAACCTTGCTTCCACACCTTCCTATGTCCATTTTCTCTTTTTGAATGACATGCCTTTTTACCTAATTTTATCAGAAATTCTACCCCATTTAAAAAATAATTCTGACAGTTCCCTTTTTTTCTCTCTCTCTTTTGTTTAATATTTATCATGGAAATTTTCAAATGTACACAAAAATAGAGTAGTATAGTAAACTTCCATAGCACATTACCATGTTTCAACGTCTTATTCATGTTTTATCTTTCCTTTCCCCACTTTATGGGGGATAGAAGGAGAGGAGATGGAGTATTTTATGGCAATGCCCAGACATCATACCATCTCACCCATAAATACTTTATATGTATCTCTATCAGATAAGAACTTCAAAAATAAGATAAGCACAATGTCACTATCACACCTAATAAAATTACCAATAATTTTTTAACATCCAATTCCAGTCCATGTTCATACTCTCCTAGTGTTCTCTGAAATGAATTTTGACAATTGGTTTGTTCAAATCAGGCTCCAGATTAAGTCTGCACAATGTATTTGAGTGATATGTCTCTTTTTCCAATTTATTTTTAAAATTTAGATATAATTCACATAAATGAAAGTCTCTTATGTCTTTAAAAATCTATAGCAGTTCCTCTTTCCTGTTTATTTCATGCTATTTATTTGTTGAAGAATTTCTCAATGTCTTGTAGAATTTCTCAATTTCTGGGTTTGTCTGATTGCATCCTCATGGCATTATTAACATGTTCCTCTCCTTTTTTTTTCCCTGTAAATTAGTGGTTAGATCTAGGGGCTTGATTAGATTCCATTTTCATGTTTTATGTCGTAGACTTTTCCTTTCTTTTTTTCATTTTTCTTTATTTTTTTAGATTTAGCTTAGTCACAGCTCCTCCAAGAATTCTTCACTTTATCTCCATCCCTGCCCTTAGGGGTGGCTCCTTTCTCAGACACTTGTAATATTTACCTATCTATTTATTTATCCATCAAATCATTTTCACTCCTATTCCTAAAAAGGCAGGGAGTATGCCCTGAGTGCCGGGACCATACATGGCTCAAAACTGCTATTTTCCCCATATGTAGCACATAATGTAGCTTATATAGAGTAGGAGCTCCACACATTGTTGTTGAGCTAAATGGACATGAAAGTACAAATCATACACCAATTGTCTGCTGCTTAGTACTTGCTGCCTTATGTATGGTTTCTCCCTGGGTTACAAACCTTGACTCAGCTCCTGGACTATGAGTCTCTTGAGGGCAGAGAGGAGGTCAAATACATTCTTGCAGTCTGAGTACTTAACACAGGGCTCTGTCTATAACTAGTGTGTGTTCAATGTATATTAAAGTGAAGACCTTTGCCTGTCTTTTTTTTTTTTTTAAGATTTATTTATATTTATTTGAGAGAGAGAGAGAGAGCGTGAGAGCGAGAGAGCACACAAGCAGGGGAAGCAACAGAGGGAGAGGGAGAAGCAGGCTCCTTTGCCCATCTATTCTTGCTGGATTTTTTTTTTTTTTAAATTCTTTATTTATTTGAGAAAGAGAGAGCACAGAGGGAGAGTGAAAGGGAGAAGCAGACTCCCTGCTGAGCATGGAGCTCTATGTGGGGCTCAATCCTAGGACCCTGGGATCGTGACCTGAGCCAAAGGCAGACACTTAACCCACTGAGACACCAGGCATCCCTATTATTGCTGGATTCTTATGAGCTCAAATGAAAGGTGCATGGGGCGCACCTGAGTGGCTCCGTCCTGCTCCCCCTGCTTGTGCTGTCTCTCTCTCTCTTTCTGTCAAATAAATAAATAAAGTCTTTAAAAAAATGAGAGGTGTGTGTGACATGCATGTGCAAAAGAGTAAAGTATTAAAATATAGGTAAGTGTGACAATAATTATAATCTTTTGTATTTTTTTCTTTTGTATTTTCAATAGACACAATCCTTGGTTGAAATGTATGAAGATACTGACTTTTATCACCTTTTTAAAGAAGGGGTATCTATTCCTAGGGTTTAATTCATTAATGAAGAGGGATTACAGTGCTATCTATCAGGTGGTCAACTTTTTGTTATGTGGATTAATGGTATGGCTATCCATAGGGAAGTATCTATTTAAAGGAATGAAAAGTTTTTAGGGTGACTGATTACTCAAACTCTTTTTGTTGCAAGTGACAAAAATCTAAACCATAATAGTACCAGCAAAAAGAAAATAATTTTTGGTTCATATCTCTGGAAAATCTAAGGATATCTGTTTCTCTGATTGTTGATCTTATCTTGTTATCTCAGTTTTGGTCAGCATCCCTATGTGGCCATAAATAATTAGCTCTAAGTTCTCTTCCTTGGAGCATCATACTTCCACAAATCAGTCTTTCCTGGTTGCCCTACAGAAAATTTCAAAGGAGAACTTTTAGTCATCTTAGTGTCCTCTGTACATCTCTAAAGGAGTCACTGTTGCTAAGGAGAAGGGGCCATTTATTGGCCAGGATTAAGTCACATACCCACTCCCATTGGGTCGCAGATGGCACTCTAATCAATAATTCTGTCACATGTGATAGAAGAGAACATTTCTCTAACCCAGAGTAGGATGAGACCAGAAGAAAAGGTGTAGGGGAAAAATAGCAGTTATCTGTGTGTACCTCAGGGCAACCTCAGCTCAGAGCTCCATACCCTACAGATCTCTCTGGAAGGTGCACTTTGTTGGAGGTAAATTCAGGGCTTTTAGCTTTCTCGACAGTTTTTTTCCTCTTCAGGTTTGGTTCCTTAGGTCTAGTAGGTCACTATTTGATGAGTGACATAATGGACTGTTTCATTACAGTTCTAAAGAGGTTATACACTGCAGTTCTAACATAAAGTTTTTGATAACCTTTAAGGAGTCAACGGAATCTGGGAGATGCCCAATCATTAGTCCAGCCTCCTTAGAATTTTATCCGAGGATGATCATTTAGTTTACTACTTCTGGAAGGACAAACTCACAGATGAAGTGTTAGTCTGAGAGGAATATCTTCAAGATACAATAGATGAAAGAATGACCATTGAGCCATGTTTTTTATAGACTACAAATCACTTTCCCTTGCATTTGACCTTGCAACATCTTCTAAGACGGGTTTGCCAGTCTCCTTTGTTACAGATGAAGAAATTGAAGCTTCTAGGAATCAGTGACATGCCCAGGATTACACAGTGCTTTAGACAAAGATTTTGGGATTTCAACTCTGAGTCTCATAACTTTAAACACCACCCTCTAACACTCTACTGCCTCTCTGATGCCTCAAGACACTTTTAAAAGAAGGAACACATTCTACTGGAACTAATCAGAGGGAAGGTCTGGAAATACAAATGAGCCATAACTGAGCCTGTTATTCTGTTACCTAAATGGGTGCCGGGAAGTTCAGGCGGGAGGATGACACCTGTACAATTTATTCACCCCCAAATTCACTCCTGAATTGTTAGGAAAATCTCGTTTGAACTCCCAGCCAACTGAGAAATTAAAGGCAGACAGTGACGACGTTGTTTTGTAACTTTGTGCCTTTTAAAATTAACCGAAACTTTCAAGTGCTGCTTTAGATTAAAAGTGGCTAACCCGATAAAGGGAAAAGAGCCACTCAGCTGGATGAATAGTATTGTAAAAGCCCAGACTGAGTTATAGAAAAGGAACGCAAAAGAACAATTTTTACAATAATGTTTTAATTATAAAGTGAAGGCAAATTCCTCCACTCCATTCCAGTCCGAGGACAAGCTGATACGTCGCAGAAGCGCTGGGAAGCATACAGGCTGATAGGAAGTCCTTTTATTTTAAGATAGGCTTGAAGGCTAAAACTTTCTAGTGCCAAAACCTTTCACGATTAAAAAACATATATATTTTATTTTATTAAGGAGTTGGCGTGCTCTCGCAAATGTCTGAGCTGGGAGTAGGGGTGACGGTAGGACAGCAAGGCTGAGTCCACTCTTATTAATATTAAATAGCCAAGTCTGTACCCTTGAAGCAAGTGGGGAGAGAAGAGGGAGAGGAGCTGCTGACATTGACAATGAATCCAAACAGGAGTTGCAATAGCGGTGTCCACCACGTTGCCTCAGTCCCCGCCTGGCCTTCTGGGAGTTGTAGTTTTCGCGGGAGCGGTTTCCCTGGCGAGCCGGGAACGCCCCGTCCGGGCCGAACTACAGATCCCAGGCAGCGCGCGGCCGCCCGCCCCTCCCGCCCGGGTGCGAGTGTAAACTCGCAGCGCCGGGGCGGGCGGCAGCGAGCGGGCGAGCGCGCTGAGCTGGGCACTGCGCGGGGGCGCACCGCTCGGGGGACCCAGGCCCCGCCACCTTCCCTCCGCCCCCGGGCTCTGTTCTCACTTTTGAGCAGTGGAAGGACGGAAGCAGGAGCCATGCAGTCGGAATCGGGGATCGTGCCGGATTTCGAAGTCGGGGAGGAGTTTCACGAAGAGCCCAAAACCTATTACGAACTCAAAAGTCAACCTCTGAAGAGCAGGTGAGTGGTGACAGCTGGAGGAAGGCGTTGCGGGCGGCTGGGGGGCCCCACACCCTGGGGCGGGGAAAGCCGGTCGCACGGGCTCTGGGACAAGGACCCCGTGTCCTTGCCCGGGGGCAGAGGGCGAACTGCCCCCCGCAGTTGGGGGCCGCGCCTGCCGGGCCGGTACACCCCTGGGGGGCTCCGCCCAAGTGCGCCTCAGGGGCGCCGCGGGCAGCCCGGGACGACCCGCCCAGGTGAGGGGTCCCTCGGCTGGGGATACAAGCTTCTGAGACCGGGTGGGGGCTGGGGAGCGACCTGGCGCGCAGGTGGGGGAGGAGGAGCCCGGGTCCAGGACGCTGCCCGGGTGGGAAGGAGGAAAAAAGAGTTTCTCGTGAACCCCTTTTCTGGAGATCCTAGCGGGTTGAGGACTCGGAGAGGCAGTGCTTGGGGTGGATTGAGGCGCGACGCTGAGGGAAGCAATTAGTTCGTCTGTTGTCGCCTCCTAGGAGTCGGCTCCTCTGGGAAAGCCCGCCCCTGGCCGCCTGCAGGTGATGCTTCCCCGGAGCCCGCCTCTCACCTTGCAGACCGCGGCACAAGCGCGCGGGCCCGTTAGGGGCCGCGGGTGGGCGTGTCTCTCGTCCAGGTTAAACTCCCTGGGCAATAGAGTTCCATTCATATCCGGGCCTTCCCTGGAGGGGAAAAATCCTTGGAACTGGAGGGTATTGGGACACACCTGCTTGGCAGCGACACGTGTTTAATTCGCTGAGGACTTCAAAAACTTTTTGGAGAGAAGTGAAGACACCCGCTGCTCTGGCGCCCCACCACGTTGCGTGCCCACTTTCTATGCTACCTCCATTTCCACTAGTCCATCGGAATGGGTTGGGTATCTTCCTTTCTTGGTCCTCTGGCCCCTCCCTGGCATTTCCAGTGTTTACAAAGCGGGAGATGGTCATTTGAGGTTGTGATGGTAGAGAAAGGTTTTTATGTCCACCGCTTTCAGTTGTGGAAGAAGATGAAGCCCCGCCTGGAAGGTTCAGCAGTGCTTCTGCACCCATCTCAGACCTTCCTGACTGCCCTGGCAGTGGGTAGAATCTGGGCCTGGCTGGCAGAGGGTGAGAGGGTCCAGAAATCAGGCTGGTTGAAGAGAAGGGCAACTGACTCAGGACGGAAGTCGTACAGTCTTTGTTTCTGGGGTGCGTGGGGCTGGTATTTGCTCTGGTGGCAAGCAGAACCAGGTTTGTTTCCTTCAGAGCTGTGTCAAGACTCTGAATCCAAGTCGGGGAAACAAATCTGGGAAAGGCAGACCCACTGACTGGGCTGCTGAAGCAGTCTCTTTGCAGATGCTTGAAGGGGATTGGAAGGAAATGCAGTTAGATGCCTAAACCCAGCCTTTAGTTGATGGTTTCTCTTCATAATGGCTGTTTTGTGTGTGAACATAGATCGTGTGTGTTGGGGGTTGGGGGTTTTGAGTAATATTGTGTAAAGGGTATTGTTGGTTATGCTCATTGGGGCTTTATGTGCATTCGGCTGAAGGGACCAGTGTTTTACCGAGCAGTCTCTGCTTTTGCTTCTATAAGCAAATGCTTACATGGCCAGAAATGAGGGAGTGAGTGTTTGAGTGAGTGTGTGTGTGTGTGTGTGTGTGTGTGTGTGTGTAGTCCTGAAAGAAATGAATTAACGGACTGTTTGGAACATTTTTGATGGGAACTGATACATAACATTAAATGAGTTTGAGAGAGTGAGGAAAATACCATCTGGAAAAACCCAAATGAGTGCCATGAAACTCATGTTGAAGGATTTGGGCCTGTTCTTTTTCAGAGTCGGCAAAAAATTACTTGCAAGGGTGAACGTCCTCGGTAGCTAGCTAGCATGTGTAAGGAAAAATGTGGGTACGTGGGAAGCAATGGCTTCACACGTTGAAGCTAGAAACAGGTGCGGGACAGAACCGGTATGGAGAGGAATGCTAAATTAAAAAAGTTGTTGTAAAACTTGTCTGTGGAGCAGACACATGCTCTTTGAAATAAACCAGTTAAATAAAATCTGTGAATAAATATATGGGGTTGGCAAAATTTCCCTATACTGTTTTCCACAGTTGTCTAACTTATTGTCATCGGCATCTGTTGTGTGACTTTAAAAGGGCTACATGTTGTTAGGGGCCTCCTCATGGCTTTTTGTCTGAAGTCTTTGCCAGGGCACCTCCCTTCTCATAAGTCTTGGTTGGAAAAAGCAGAAACGGAAAGGTTAAGACTGCCGTAGCCATTTTGTCTGTCAGGTATATTCTCTGGATTGTCTCTTGGAGTTGAAAATGTGTTCAGAGTCGGCCCACCTCTCAGCAGCTCCTCTGCTCCCACTTTGGTCCAAGTCCTCACCAGCCCGTGCCAGGGTTATTGCAGTAGTCTCTTAACTGCTCGCTTGCCTTCTCCTCTTACCCCTTCTGGTGGATTTTCTACACGGCAGCCACAATGTTCCCGTTAAAATCGGTTTTCAAGGGGGGCAGGCATTGCCCCCCAGGGGTCACTTGACAATGTCTGGGGATATTTTTGGTTGTCCAAATGGAAGGGCGTTGGTACTGGTCTTTAGTAAATGGAGGCCAGAGACGCTGCTAACCATTCTGTAATGCCTAAGCTAGCCCCCGCAACAGAGAATTGTCTGGCCCTCAATTGTCACCGCTGACGCTGAGAAACGGTGGGTTAAAACGTGCCACATCATGTCATTCTCTGCTTAAAATTCTCCAATGGCTCCTAGTTTCAGTAACACTCGAGATACTTTAACTGGCAAAAGGCAGCCTGTATGGTCAAGCTCCCTGTCAGCTCTGAGTTCATTTGCTGTCGCCAGGCTCATTTCGTCGCTGTTCCTGGAACACTCCAGACCCCTCCACTGTAAGGCCTTTGTATGTTGTTCTTGCTGGTGCCTCTGCCTGGACCATCCTTTGCCCAGAGAGCCACAGTGCTCACTGCCTCACCAACTTCAGGTCTTACTTTTAATATTCTTACCAGGCCTACCTCACTATGTACAATTGCTATCCCTCCAAACTCTCCTCTTCCTTGCCCTGCTCTATTGTTTCCATAATATTTATATTACAGTTGACTCTGTCATTTTTAATATGTTCTGTTGATGTTTCTCCCCACTAGACTGCCAGCTTCAAGGGAGCAGGGATTTCTGTCTGTTCCTTGTTTACTGTTGTGTTCCTAGAATCTAGAGCAGAGTTTCTCAACCTCAGTGCAGTTGACATTTCGTGCTGGATAATTCTTTGTTGTGGGAGCAGTCCTGGGCATTGCACGATGTTGAGCAGCATCCCTGGCCTTGCTTGCTAGAGGCTAGTACCACCCAACCTCCCGCTGTGACCACTGGAAATGTCTCCAGACACTGCCAAATGCCCATGAGGGGCACCGTCACCCCTGTTCAGAACAGTTGGCCTAGAACATTGCCTGGCACAGTAATGATTTGTTGTTTGAACAGGTGTTGCTTTCTCCCTTAGGACTCTGCTTAGGATGGGGTGCTTTGTTCTGATTTTGCATTCAACATTGCAGCCTTTTAAAATAGGTATCCACCAAGGTCCCTCCAAAGAGGAGCTTATATACTCTTCGTTTGGGCTAAGCTCCGATGTGCAGGTGTTTCATGAGGAAAGATGGTTTCATTCCTAACCCAGACCTCCTGGCCTTTAGGAATGTGAAGCTGCTCGGTTTAGATCATGTGAACCCCCCTTTTGGTCACAGTCACAGGTAAATCTGTGTTAGACGAAGACGCATGCTATGAGGAAAGGTTCTAATGAAGAATTGTTTGCAGTTCGGTGCCCCCAGCAAGGTTTTTGAAGCCTTTGTATGTTCTGGGAATGAGCTCTGAATGGTGGGTGGCAGGGGAAAAGTGCCAAATATCAAGGGTGAACCCAGAATTCACACGTTGGCACAGTCCCATCAGGGAAACACATGTGGAGCTGTTCAATGCGTTCCTAGCAGTGCAGGAACTCTCTGTAGATCTTTGGGACCTGAAAACAACACGTTAAAATATGGTCACATCTCTCAGGTTTAAGGTCCTCTTGTTCAGTTTACTGGGTGTGAAATTCTGTGGCTTTGTAGTCGCTAATGCCCCTTTCCTGGACAGACTTCTGAATTGACCCAATCTATTTCCAGTTTCTTCTCTTCCAAAATTTTAGTTACGTTTTAGGTAACTGTTGTCTAACTTCCTGCAAATTAGAAATGGGAATGAGAGTGAGTCTTAGGTTTATTATGGCAAGATAGGATACAGCAGTGTTTCCCAATGCTGATTCATAGAGAGATGTGTGAAGATTTTACAGGTTTGTGGTGAAATGAGAAAGACAAAGACTATTGTGTCCCATGCACATGCACACACATACTCACATGTTTTAGTATAAGGCTGTTTCTTGGATTTATTCTGAGATTTTCTTTCCTGTCTTCCTATTAAAAATACCCTTTCTGAGCCTGCATATTCTCCACTCTGTCTTTTCCTCTTATTGCAGGCTGGGACACAGACACGGTGGTGGTAATCTTGCTTAACCATAAAGCCAAGGGTAATACCCTAGGGAACACTGAATAGACAAGATTAGAAGGAACATGGACATCTGAATGAACTTGTGGAACACAGCTGACTATCCATCTAATCTATCAGCTCAAACTTCTACTTGAAAGAGAAATAAATCTGATTTAAAAAATACACTTTTATGAAATGATAATCCATTCTTGGCAAAACACAACCATCAATCTCTTACTGGTTTCTGAGAGTTTTCTTGATTTTTCTGTCCATCCAATCTGCAGGGAACTGCCAGCATTATTCTGGCATCACTGTCGCTAACTAGCCTGGTGAACTTGGGCAGGCTGGGTGACCCCTAACTTCAGTTTACTCATCTGACTCACCCCTGCATCCTAGGGGTCTTAAAAGCAGTAGCTATGACGTTGACTGTGGAAGATTATTAGCATGTGCCAGGCACATAGTAAGGGTTCAGTAAATAGTGTTCTGGTTATTAGTTTATTATTTCTATATTACTTAGCAGTGAGTCCTGA